TTAGTTTCTAAGAAAAAGTTAATGGAATTCATTTGGAATTTTGAATATCGTATTCGTTGTTTCAAATAACACCTTAAATAAAGGAATTTTGAAATGGACTGTATGATTGAAGTGTTACCTTTTGTTATGAATTCACAATAAGTTTACGTTTATATGTTATTCCAATTTCTTTTCAATGTTTTATCTGCAGTATACTGTATCGCAAAATTTATATCAGAAAAAATGTTTCATCGCGCACATTTCTCTACGCGCAGGTAATGGCTGCACAAATATTTATCCATGATCGCCCGAAACGCAACAAAATCGAACAATTTGCGATACACGTTGCGTAAATAACGTTTGCCACCGTGATTCGAAAATTTCTGTGACCGATAATATGTTTAAACCGCGTACCAACAAAACATTTCAGTACTTTATCTTTTTTTTCGGAAACGTTGTAACGTTGACACGATCATTGAAACATTTCCAGGACGCAATTTAATTTTTTCGGGAACTCACGATTCAATTTTATTTGGATCACCTTCGGAATCACTTTAGAGCACGTAAACGAGTTTCTTTTTAGTCTCGCACGGAAACAAAGTGTACGTTGCACAATCAATTATTTTTAGTAATTTTGTTTTCACCTTGTAGACGCGGTATCCTTTGACTCGGTAAATGAACCGTTTGATTAACGAAGTAGTTAGTTAGACACGAAACGAACCGATCCGCGATTTTAACGGCGAATTTTATATTATTCCGCGCTTATTAAGTTTCCTCATATATCACGCGAAATCAAATTCCTTATGCGAATGCAACGAGATTAAATTACCTGTTGTACATGAGGATATCTGGTTTCCAAAGCTTGTTCGGAGTGATTCGGAGATCCTTCACTCCACCATAATCAGACTCGTTCCACTGGAGATTATAGTCCGTCCACTCCTGGAACATAAAACAACGTCCGTGAATTACCTTAAGAGTGACAGTTATTAGAGGTAAAACAATTTTACAATTTTACATCAGTTGCATACATCCTTTGACGTATGCAAATTAACGGAATATTAAAGGACCAGGGAATTTAATGAACGACCATGGTCTTACTTATAAGTTAATGGAAATTTATTATGCTGTCGTGTGGTGTTAGATAAATTATTTAACCTAATAAAGAGGGGTTCGGGCTACGTTATTTTAATTATAAAAGGTTTAATGTACTGAATACTTTTGTATCTTGACTGGTTTTTCAAATATTACATTCTGAATTCTAAAGATCATTTTTATTATTTAAACACGATTATAAGCCATAAATAACAATGTTTTTATCAGAGTGATGGGAAATTATTTTCTGATAAAGTTTTGTAAACTACTTAATTGCGAAAAAGCTGTAAGCAATGGCACAAGTAAATTTTTAAAGACAATAAGAAATTGTATTAATCTCCAAATATTACAATATAAAAAGTTCTAAAGAAAAGAAAATCTATTGAAATTAAGGAAATTATTTGTTCATAATTAAAACTGCTACTTTATTTCCCATAACCTATAATACATATAGCATGTCGCACCCAATTTTCAGGTAAAATTACTGAACTAATCATTGAAACACAAAATTGTATAAATTATTATTAAACTATCATCTATTGTACTGAACAATGTGTATTTAACTTACTTGAACATTGGTATCATTTTATATACGACTTAGTGATGTAAATGTCAGCATTTCACAATCGAATTTTGAGAACAAGTTTTCATAATCTCCATTACTTAACCAATCAATAATATCTGTCGACATGGAACAATTTTCAGGTTGCCTGCCAAAGTTCTTTCGTGTCTTCGAAACTAAAAACAAAGTTCTCCGAATGTTCTGCTCGAGACATGTCACCCCGCGTTTCGAATTTTAATGCTCCTATCTGAAGGCTAACCGAGAGGAGAGAAATGTTCGATATAATTAATATTCAGTCTACTGCCAGGAGTAATTTCACCAAAGAGGAATATCAATTCTCTGTGGTCTGCCGAGGATAATGAAGCTCGAAAACTCCAGGAAACTTCGTTCGGATACGAAATTGGTAAAACTAATTAATTCTCGTTAAAAAGAAGATTAATTATTCGTGGAAATACGTTTATTTTCGTTGCATGGAGGAAATTGCGTTTTTGTCTTCGGTAGGTGACCGAAGGAACTCTGAAAAGGATGGGAACTGTAGACAAAGAATTCCTTTGTCGAAATTTGTTAGTATTAGCGTGCGTAAAAACGTTAAACCTTCATCACCCTCCTCCTCGTTTTTCTTTATCGTATAAACGTGGCCCATAAATGAAAAGATCTAACAGCAATCGTGAGCGATTCACAAAGCGTCAGATTAGAGATGATAAATTCGCTGGTAGCATGAAAACTGGGAAAACCGGTGTCGGTGTATTACAGTTTGCTGTCAGTGAGACGATTCACAGAGTTACGGTGATTGCTGTGCTATTACAATTTATTAGTTATTATTTATTAATCATTTATTAGTTATTTATTAGTTATTTATTAGTTATTTATTAGTTATTTATTACTTATTTATTAGTTATTTATTAGTTATTTATTAGTTATTTATTAGTTATTTATTAGCTATTTATTAGTTATTTATTAGTTATTATAATTTGAAGGTATTCTAGAAACTAAGTTACTTTTTCGCTAAAATGGTACTCACAACTTAAATTCTTTAAGTAATATTTGTACCTTTTATTTGTTTCATTAACACCAGAAGAACCGAGCATTTATTGGGATCTTATAAAGATTGTCAAAATACATTTTTCCTCGATTTCTTCAGACGTTTGTTACAGTATTTAAGTAGATCTATTTATTTTCAGAATCTTTTCGAATAATCAATACTATTTAAATACCAATAATTGCAAAATTAGAAAATTATGACACGCCATTTTGATGAGTACGATAGTCCTAGTGTTAACATTATTTTTATCGAAAGTGTCAAAGGAAACCCTTCAAAATTTTAGGTTGAAGTTACTTTCTCAATTCAGTTATTTTTCCACAGTTGGCTTTTCAACGTTAGTTTATTAAATAACGCAATAAATTTTATAATGGAATTTCGAATTGTTGAAAAATACTACATTATATGTATGGTCCACATTGATGGACTCTTAAGTACATATTTTTCGAAAGTGAAGCGTTAAAATAAAAAACTGTTATTCTCTCGTTTACTTATTTTTGCATACTAAATCACCATTTGGATGGTTACACTACCTTGGGAACAGGTTCTAAGTCACAACGTCATAAATCACATGATTTCCATTTCAAGATGTCGCAGTAAAAAATTTCATTCGTAGATAACTGACAGTAGATTTCGATATTCTCGAATTCATTTTTGTGAAAAGAGAAAATTGCTTCTAATATGTGTTCCATATTTGAAAATACAGATCTCATTTTGCAACGTTTTGAAGTTCCTGAAAAATAATTCTTCCTTTTCGTTTTCAGTTTCATCCATAGTAATTTACGTTTTTACGTATACATACATATTTTTCTACTACACACTCTAAATAACATCATCATGCAAATAAACACAGTTTCGAATTCAGTGAGTATCCAATACAATATCTTCCAACGATTACATAATTTCCAAATCAAAAATGACTAATTACACAGCTTTCTGGCTAATTTCATATTTAACTAAAGCATAAGTCTTATTTAATTCATCATATTTTTCGAAATAACAGCTTATTCTCCAGGTAATCAAGAACATATTCAAATATTACAAAGACAACAACGATCTTCGAAATCAAACAATAAAATCGCATATCTAAATAAGATTCCCGCTTTATCTTTAGTACGATTTAAACAACATTAGGAATATTTTTAAATCATTCCCATTAGGGAAGTTAATTGCGCACCTATTTTATGCGGCGTACTCCGTGCGAAACCGCTACATTAAATAAGATTTGCTCAGATATGAATCTTTTTAATCCGCTATAGTGGACGATATATACACAACAGTAGTTTTCAGCGGGAACAGTATGGAGAGCCATTTAAACTCCGGCAAACATCGTAAATCATGAGGCAGGTCTACGATTCCAACCAGCGAACGCAACGTTCCACGATCAAACAAAAACGTATTGTGATTAAGATTAATATCGGATCCCCGATGGAATTACAACGCCGCAGTTAAAGAAGCGAAATGTAAGGCGGAAAGGGGTCCGCGGTGGGCTGTCCTGTATATTTAAGTGCAGCGACTTTCGAGGAATGCGCGACCTGGTTTCGCGAAGGTGGTGTGCAAACTGCATAGAAAACGCGCCGCTTTATAATGTATACTTCAATTTCCGGGGCCCGGACGGGCCGGAGTCCCGGCGTTTGCTCATTAGATTACGCAGCTGAATTGCACAGACGAGGAATTTAGAGGGTGAAAGTTTTCACGTTTCGCTGGCCGAGACAAACTTGATAGTAGGGTAGATCTGAATGTGAGCTAGGATCTAAACATGGGTTGGTTGAAGTATACAGTCCCTGATCATAAGATTAGGGCCATCATAGTTTTTACGCCACTTTCATCACGATAACAGCATTGGAAGTGTAAAAGGTAACTTAACCAATTAACTGCGTGTCACGAGTATACACGTTATTTTAACGCTCGAAATGCTACTAATTCTTTCAACGATGAATTATTTACTTTTTCAGAGAAACATGTAATTCTCCTTTGTCTTGTTTTGGTTATTCCTTAAAATATACCCTAGGTGCATTCATCTTGCATTTCACGAGTACACACTTCATTTTTTCATTTTGTCGTGCTAAAAGGCGATCTCTCCAAATTTGTAATAAGAGATTCAGTTCGAGCGCCTGGCGCGATCTTAAAACTCGAAATGATACGAATAATAATCTTTTCAGCGACGAATTAGTTATGTTTTCAGATACACACGTAATTCTTCTTCGTTTCGCTTTAGTTTTTCGTCAGAATATGTTATAGGTACCATTTGTACTATACTTGACGAGTATATACTTCATTGTTCGCCGTTATTGCGCGTACAATGAGAAATTTTTGAAACTAAATTCTACAGTTAACTGGTTAAAAAATTTTCAATAAGTTCGGTAGTAATTCCTGAAATTAGACTACTAGCCGATATTTAGATTTTCTCCTCTATCCTGTCTGCCTCGAAAATCTCGAGTTCTTTTTTCCAAAGGCAGAGATTTCGTCGCGCCATGGAAACGAGGCGTAACGAACGATCCTTCGGCGTTTCCTCCTCAGATAAATTTCGTTCCCGCCGTCTCGCGGCAAGTGGTTACCAGTCGCTGCCAGCCGAAACTGCTGGAAGACGTTCCGCGTTTTCGGGGATTGAACGATCGTACCCACTTTTATTACAAGGAGACGCTACCAGCGTACCTGAACCGATCGGACTGCAACCGGAAAATTGCTTTCGTTAGGCTGAAATCTCTGTGATCTTTTTTCTGTGATATTGTCTCCGTGCTGTTTAATATGTATAGAATTCTTTGGAATTTTTGTTTTGTGATTTGAGAAAAGAATAATGTGAACACTTTAAAGAATTTGAAACATAGAAAAGAAAGACTTTGAAAAATTTTAATTTTTTGCATGGTAATTTTTGCAAATACTCGTGAAATGATGTAAGTTTTATATAATTATTTTATCTATTTGTAAAGATTTTAGTTACTTCGTTGTTTATGAAAAAATATTTTGAAGTACTTTTTCGAAGAAAGATATAAAATTGAATATACATATACAGCTTTTTGATTAAGGAAGATCGTATTCTAACCGTTGTTTATTAATTTTAACTAATTGCTTCATATCATGCTAAGAGAGTGTGTATTATTCAGGTTGGTCTTAACCGTAGAAAGAAATATAATGATGTAACTTAAAATAAGTTTAAAAATAAAAAATAAATGTCCACTTTAATATTATTTCATAAGAGTATGAATTCAAATTCATTTGGAATTTAACCGAAAGCAAAATATCGTG